TTTTAAAATACATTAATAGAATTTTTGTAACGAAACTATTTTTTTATGAATTCTAATTGTAAATTTTGTTTATGTACATTCGCTCCACTGTGCCCTGCCCCAATGACCTAAAAAAAAAAAAAAAAAACGAATATGAAAGCTCAATGTAAAAACTGTAAATAGATAACGTTAACGTAATACACTTTAAACTCACGACTTTACGTTGCCTCACGTAAAATCAAGTGTGGCAACGCCACAGTATTCACAATGAACACGCTGCCAGAATCGCCCAAAAGTGCGCCTGTGCACAGAGCAGTGCTACCGTTAAAAACGAACGAGTTGCAATGCACGCACACTTACACACACGCATATATTCATATATAGGCGATGCCACACACATGGCAGCTTTCATTGAGGCACTCATTCAACAAAAATATATGCTTATCCTTGCCACAGCGCTGCTCAGTTTCAGTTGAGGCTCTCGTTCGGTGGCACACACGCTGGGCTCGTCGCAGGCCAATAAGAATTCATATAAGAGTAACTTACAATTCATAAAATCACAAGAGGAAGAAGAAAAAAAACTATTTAATACAGTATAAAAAGTTTAAGCCGAAGAACAAAGAATGAAAAAATATCATTAGTAGAAACTGCAATTGCGGTAGTCGTTCCATTGTACGTATTCGTAACGGGCGTGTGTGTGCTTGTGCGTGTGAGTGCGTGCGTGAGTGTGAGTAAGTGAGCATGTGTGTGTGTTGAGTACATAATAGGGCTATGGAGTTTTATTGAAAAACGAAACAAGAAAAAAACGTTATTGCCTCGAATAGAGCAATATATATGTATACATATATGTATAGGCAATACCACCAAATCTTAAAGGCTACACACACACATACTGAGAGTGGAAAAAGTTTTACCGTTTGCCATGTGGGCCAAGCCAGAGCGAAAAATCAAAGAAAACTGTTTTCAGCCAAATTGTGTAAATAAATCATATATAAAATAAAAATTGATAGAAAAAAATATATATTTATATATATATATATATATTTAGAGCCAGCAACAACACCCGACCTCCGCAATTTCGCATAGGTGTGGGAGTGTGTGCAAAAAAAAAGAGCAGAAAAAAGGACGATGCGAAGGCAACGCGCGCGCGCCTTCACTGTGTGAGTGTAAAATGCGTGGGTGTGTGTGAAAGGTGTAAAAAATGTACATTTTGTGAATTGGCCATATAAAAAAAAAAACCAAAAAGAAAAAATAAAAGAGCAGAGAGAAGAGAAAACGAGTAACGAGTGTAACCGAAACATAACAACAACAACTAACGTAACGAAAACGACGACAACCGTTATATTTAGCCGCCGCCGAATCCAGTTATACGACCTACTAACACCAACGCACATTACGCACAAATGTAGCCAAAGTTTTTTTGTTGCTGGTTGTTGTTGCTGTTGTCCTGCTGTTATTGTTGTTGGCGAATGAAGCGATTTTGCAACTAAACAAAATGCACACAGATCTCGATATCGGTAACAATATAAATCACAGCAAGTGCGCATTGCCAATGCGCCGTCAGCAGCAACAGCACTTTTATCAGCACACAACTCGCCCACCCACGCAGTGAATTTAATTAAACTAACTAATAATTATAACAAACACCAACTAAATAAACAACAGCAAAGTAAGCACCGCTTATTGTTTTTATTTTTTATTTATAAAACCACAGCCATTAGCGAACTGAAATTTCAAATGCATTTTTTGTTTTGGCCGCCCATCACAAGCGATTGCACGGTTGTGTCCGTATATCGATAATTACGTGCTATTTATCGATCGAAAAACAGTTAAAATATAGGCTTTCTGCGCTTGGCTTCGCTTTTAAAGCATATGACTATTCTGCTATCGTTTAATTTCAAATTACTGCTTTTAAATAATTGTCGATGAGCTCAAAAGAAAAATATCGATAGTATCGCTGCACGTGCAAAAACTATTGGCACGCGAAACTTGGCGCACACGCATAACTAAAAACAAGTAGTAGAAGAAGCAGCAGCAGAGAGAGCGCATGCAATAGGACTGTCAGACGGACGCGCACATACGTACGGTTTGTGTTACAGCGGCACTTTGCCTGGTCGGCCGCCCTTCGCCGTCCTCTTCATATAAAAAACAAAAGCAAACACGAATTAAATGTAATTAAGTGCATTTAAATTTGATGCTTACGTGATTTGTGTCTGTGTGCGTGTCAATACAAATACAATTACTAAGAGTGTGGTAGGCTCACATTTTCATTCATTTCGCTTGTACAAAACAACCCACAGAAAGGACAATAAATGTTGAAAATTATACAGCTAGTTTCATATGCCTGGCTTTATGTGCGCCCTTTTATTTCGTCAAGTTTAATTTAAGCAATTTCGCGTGTGCCTTTTCGCTTCTCTTTCTCTCCAGAGTGCGCTTGTGTGTGTGTGTGTGTGTATGTGTGTGAGAGTGGTGGTTCTGATTGGATCTGCTGTTGTTGCCGTCATCAGTTCTAGTTGGGGCCGCATTTGTTATGTCAATAATTAACAGTAAAACTTATGGAAAAGCCAGAAGCAAAACAGGCAACAAAACACTGCGTAAGGCGTGCTACACAGCTGTAAGACTGTTTTCTAGGGCTGCAATTGACTCGTGTCGTGTCTGTCCAGGGACACCCAAGAAGTTTTTCTTCAATTCGATTCACTTACTTTTCTTCACTCCTTTTTTTTGTCATGTGTGTCCCCATGTGAGTGTGTGCCTGTGTGTTGTTGCGCCTCATTCTTGCGGCAATTGCATTTGGCAATCACACGGAAAATTGATTTTTTGCCAAATGCGCGAACAATTTTCTGCATATTTGTATATGCCTTGCGTTCCTTCATATCTTCTTTTGGTTTTTGACCATTTTTCTGCCTGCCATTGAGTATTCCAATTGGATTGTACAGCAGCTGCCCAATTGGCACATTGTGCGTTGCGTTGTTGTTGCCAGATCCCTTTAGATTGGGTACTTACTTGTCTCCTCCTTTTGTATTGCATTAAATATTTAAAGCATATGCAAATTTGAACAGTAGCACCATAAAAAGTACCTGCCGCGGCCTTAACACGGCTGTTATTGTTGTAGCTGCTGCTGCTGCTACTCTCATCCATGACGTCGCTCTCTCATCTCCTCAATATCATTTTATTCCGTTTTTAGCTTTAGTGTCGTGTAAATCGTTTTGTGTGGCAAGTGCTCTGCCCTTTTTATACAAATTTGTTGGTTGTGCCTTTTTTTTAATATCTTTTTTTTTATTATTATAGAACATACACCCACACGCACACATAAACACGCACGTTCACACACGTGTACATATGTATATATGCAATCAGCGCTCGCTGCTCAATTCAAATGCATTTCGATTGCTTCTGCCTCTCTCTCTTTAAGCACGTCGATGCATGTGTGTGTGTTTGTGTTTGTATGTGTGAGTACACTCAACTTGTGAACTACGATACTTGAACACCATTTTTCGTTGATTCCTTGTGCCTACACACTTCTGCTTGCAGCTGTTTGTGCTTGTATGCTTGTGTGTGTGTTTGTTTCCCACCTTAAGTCGTGAACACTGCTCCGATTTGTGCACCAGCTAACCTGCCCTGCCCCTGCTCCACCTGTCGACTCCTTCGAGCTTCAGTTGCTGCGACACGTGCCCAATTGTGCCGCAACAAATTTACTCCACTTTTTGACTTTTAGCTCTGCTTTTTTCTTTCTTGTACAATTGTCTATTGTGACCTGCATGCCTATGCCAAAGCTTGTGTGCTGCTTTGAACTCCTTTCAGCTAAGAGGGACCAGACTTTAAATAGAGAGAGAAAGATAAGACTATATTTAAGGTATACATACATACATATGTATATAACAATAATATTTCATTTTCATCTCTTTTTGGAGTATCTATATATCTATCATAATAGTAGTTAGATATTACTTTCAATACTAATTAAAATTTTTTTTTTTTTTTTTTTTTAAATCTTAATGGATCCTCTTTATGCTGTGTCGATATATTTAAATAATATTCACTTCTCAAATTCTCGTGTTATTTTATTCCCCTTTCCCCATCTCTGTTGATTGTGTTGTTCTAATTGGAATTGGATTTGCATACCGCCTATAAACAGTTGTCTTACACTTTTTGCCTCTATTTCTCACTCTTTCTCTCTTTCTTTAGACATTTGTTTTTCTCGCCATTTTCATAGATTTAGCTAATGCGGTGTCTAGTTCCCATTATTGGCCCTTCGCTCAATCGATTGGCAAGGTCAACACCAGCTGCTGCTGCTGATAACCATAACCATAAACAGTAGATGTGGTTGAGAGCTTGCTGTGTTGTTATTTACTGGACGCAATTAAAACTTGTTGATTGTGGGCGAATTTCATATTGGCTGTGAGAGAGACATACAATAAATATGATTTATTTGATATAGCCAAAGGTAAAATAATCACTATTATTGCCAAGCCAGAAAGGGCCTTTTATGGCTTTAGTTGAGTGTGAAGCAGACTTAAGACATAAGTTAATAAAAATATTAGATTTAGTTCAAGCTATGCTGCACCTTGAGCAGCAACGGAAAATGTTGGAAAATTAAAAAATATTTTTTAAATATACACGTAGATATTAAAAACATTTTTAGAATGTATTCACAAAAATTAATTTTACTTAATTTGTTTTTTACTCTCATTGCAGTATCTGCCAAGGAGATCAAGTGGCTAAAAAAGTTGAAGTAATAAATACGAGCAAAATAAATTTAATTGCATACAAAAAAAAAAAAAAAAAAAAAAAAAAAAAAAAAGAAAACGTGATAGAAAAAGTGCTCAAAGTGAAGAGAAAAAATAATATTAAATAAAGAAGAAAAAACACCCTTTTATCGAGGGTGTGTGCGTGTGTATGTGCCAGTGTGTATAGGTACTCGTGTGCGTGTGCGTGAGGAGCTGCAATCGTCGTCGTCGTCGTCGCTGCTCTCGTCCTCGCCCTGACTGGAGCCCCGAGCCAAAGAGCCGTCACAACGTCGTCGTCAGCAAAGCCCACGACATCTGCCGCTGCTGCCGCCGCCGCCGCCGCGTCCAAGGTAAAAACACAGCGTCAAGCATCCACGCAGAGTCCACCGCCAGGAGGAGCAGCAGCAGCAGCAGCGGGATCAACAACAGCAACAGCAACAACAGCACGCAGCGGCGGACGCAGCGGCCATCGGCGTCGTAGTAGCAGCAGTAATCCAAACGCCGGCAACACGAAAGCGACCAGCGGCAGCGGTGGAGCTGGCTGCGCCGGCGTCGCTGGTGGCGGTGGTGGTGGTGGAGGCGGTGGTGGCGGCGGCGTTGGAGTTGCTGGAGGCGGCGGTGGCACAGCCAACATTAAGCAAAGCGTCAGTCGCAATAGCAACATACGCAGCAGCTCCTCCAACAGCACCATGGCATCGGCCAATCATCGAGGCGGACGCGGCGGCATCGCCGGCGCCGGCGCTGGCGTTGGCGATGGCAATGCGGCTGGATTGCAGTTCGGCTCCGCCTGGTTTCAGCGCAAAATCAATCTAAGGCCGCAGCATCGCGGCGTCCATTTGGTCACCGAAGAGATACTTAGACAAATGCCGGAGCTGATGCAATTCTCTGTGGGATTATGTCACATGCAGAGTAAGTAGATATGATCCCTAAAAGAAATGTGAAAAAACAATATATAGGTGTTTTATTATTATAATTTAAAAAGGTAGACAGTAAATTATACCCAAACGAATAGTCAATGAAAAATGAGTTAGTTTTGACTGCAGCTCTTGAGAAATTACATATAAGTAATGTCTAGATAGCCCATGATAAAATAGGGAAAATATGTCAATTAATATATGAATAGCTTTGTAGTGGGGTGTGTAGGTAGTGGGGTTTGTAGGGATAATATAAATTGTGCAATAGGGACAATTTATATGTATTGCTTTTTATAGAGTGGTACATGATAAATAGATGATGCTAGGTAGCACAAGACTGTGTAGGAATAAAACATGCTTAAATCTATACAAATACAGTTATAGAAATACAAGCAAAAAATTCAGTAAAAGGTACATGCTGGTATTTCTAGGTACATGCTAACAGAATACTTACATATATGACCACTAAAACTGTTTAAGAAAAATAAAGCAATAAAAAAAAAAAATAAATTAAATAAAACTAAAGAAGTCATGATAACTTTATAGTATTATTTGCTATGTACCTAAAAAGGTACACGAAAAAAGACATGTATTAAAAGGTACTTAAGTGGTGAATGAAAAAGTAGGTTTAAAATATAACGCTATTGCGAAAAAGTACTTGGTGAGGAATATTTAAAAATCCACCTCTTAGAAACTACATGCTAAAAGCTATATACCGATAAATAATAACTAATTTCTACATGTTAAAATCACAATGTTAAGAAGTACATGTTAGAAAGAAACATGTAACACAAATGAATTAGAGCAACTCGATGGTAAAATCAGCACTGTATCTACTTTTCAACAAAACCATTTCATTTGACAGCCGAGATTAGAAAGAGAACTTGAAGCCATACGGCTTTTGGCTCCAAAGTTCAGCTGAGCAAACAACAAAATGTAAAACTTGCTAAACATCAAGTACGAAAATATATATATGTATATGTATATGCACATACATATATGGAAATGTTGCTAAAAGTTAAATGTTGCATTTCAATGTAGACTTCTATACATACATGCATATATGTATGTATATAAATGGATATATTGTCAGCAAAAGGATAGTTCATTTGGCTAGAGGAAATAAACTGGGTTAAGTGACAAAGCGCATGGATTCCTCTCCCGTCTCGTGACCCCTTAGTCATCGGCTTTGTTGAGTGCCGAAAACTACGTTGACATCGATTTAATTTGGCACAAATTGTCGAGTCTATTGCTGCATCAATCGACACATACAAAGCGAATGAATTGTCCACATTCTCATTGACCATTCGATATTCAAGTCCAATGACAATTTGATTTTTCGATGCTTGGGCACATACATACATATGTATGTGTGTATATGGATAAATATTTAGGAAAATTGTCAGCTCACTGTAGATGGAGACAGTTCGCATGGCTAGCTTGGCTAATTCAATGTTTTAAATCTAATGCTGTAATTGTTGATTGTTTGATCTAATATGAGCCTGGGACATTCAGTTCAATTCAGTTGGCAAGCTGGTTCGCAATTTCCTTATATCATTGAACTAGGGTGACAGTTGTCTTCAATTGTAGTCAAAATTAAAATGTTTAGACTTCTCAGGCTTTGCTAAATAACTTTGCGAAAGGAAAAGACTCGAGGATATTAACTGACAAGAAGAGAGATAAGTCGTAAAACGAAATTACAAAACAAATATTGAGTACATTGATAACTTATGAGAGTACATCTCGTATAAGAGAGACTTAGGATATTCCTAATGAAATGAAGAATCTTAATACTATTCATATTTACAATGAACCATTTTTGAATTACCAGTGGTCATGTGTCATATTAGCATATATATCTTATATAGTACATTATTTATCATTTACCATTTGATGCCCATGTATAAACTGTTGAAATACTGCTCCATAGAAGGATTGCAATGGCAGCTTAGCTTAGCTGAGCTGCACTCTGCACTATTTTCCCATCCAAATTCTTGTGGCCCAACGACTTCTGACAGCATCAAATGCGACAACAACAATAGCAACAACAACAACAACAGCAAGAACAATGAGTACAACAAATACGTGAGCCTCGAGCGTTTGCGGTCTTGTTGACAGTTTGCATTACAATGGCAGGACGCGCGTTCTCTCAGTGCCGAGAGCTGAGTTTCGTTTCAGACATGGGCAAATAAATAAAATCGTATCATAAAATGCCAGTTGGAGCAGCCAGCAGGCGGTGCAGGGCGACTGGGGCAGCCGGAGGGGGAATTGGGGCCGCTTAGATGGAGCCTCAAAGTGAAAAGCAATCGCAGTCGTCGTCGTCGTCGTCGTCGTCGTCAGCGTCGTTTCTCATGTCTTCATGTCATGGCTCTGTGGCTATGGCGTGTGAATGCTCGAGGCAAACTTCTTACCATCAGCCCCACCTCCTCGCAGTTCTCACCAGGGACTGCCCGTAATCCCGCCTCTCACCTCCCTAAGCCTGTGCCTGCACACAAATCGTCTTAGCCCAGTCGAGTCTCTATTATGGCCGTCTCTTTCTCTCAATGCCCTAGCGGCGGGTATTATGCCTTTGTTAATCAATCTGTGTTGAAGAGATTTTTTGCTATCATTGATATAAGTACTGCATATAGTATTATTACTTTTAATAATAATACTACTATCTACTACTATCTTCTACTACTACTGCTAGTTAATACTACTACATTCTTCTACTACTGCTAGCTATCTACTACTTCTGCTATTTACTACTATTACTATCTACTACTACTACTGCTAGTTACAACTACCATCTACTACTACTACTACTACTAGTATCTTCTTCTACTACTGCTAGTTACAACTACTATCTACTACTACTACTACAATTTACTACTATTACCACCTACTATCTACTACTATTGCTATTTACTACTATTACTACCTACTATCTACTACTACTACTGCTAGTTACCACAACTATCTACTAATACTACTATTATCTTCTACTACTGCTAGTTACTACTACTATCTACTACTACTACAACTACTACTATCTTCTACTACTGCTAGTTACTACTACTATCTACTACTACTACTGCTATTTAGTACTATTACTACCTACTATCTACTACTATTTCTACTATTACTACATACTATATACTACTATTACCGCTATTTACTACTACCACTACTATTATTATATTTATCCTCCTGATCGCTATTAACCCTGCCTACCTTGAATATTTCATGCAAACTTGTCTTCAAATTAATTCCAATCTGATCATATATAGCCACATTTCATATATAGTCTATATGGCTCATAGAGCATTCAAACTTCCGCTGGCCCCAAGCATTCTTTCGTGTTATTTTTTCGCTCTTGGCCAAATGAAAAGCACGTGTGTTTATTATGCCTCTTCTGCTCCTTCCCCCATCCCGGCTTAGCTCCAGCACGCTAAAATGAATCTCTGTGCTAGGTATGCGTGTGTGTGTGTGTGTGTTTCTCGTTGTCTGGGGATCCGTTTTGGCTACGTGTGTATTGTGAACTGTAGTAAGCGGAATCTAATTGAGGTCAAGACATGTTTATTGATTTTCTTAAAAGGACTTCCTAATTAGACTCACTTTACTTAAATATGTGAAAGTCCATGTGTCTGTGTGTGCAAGTATTGTCTGACTTTCAGTGTGTATGTGTGTGTGTGCTAGGTCCCTCTCGAACGGCAGCAATACCTGCACCTGTACGTGCACCTGCTTCTCTCTTCCTTTTGTCACAGCTAGGCAAAATTTTGCAGCGCCATCACAAATCAAATGGCAACCTCTGCCCCATCCTTTGGCACCTGCCTGCCTGCCCAGTGCACCTGCGACCCCTTTACAAAATGGCACAGAAAAAAGTTAATTTCAAAAAATTATTTCAAAGCAACCTTGCCATATGTTTTTCTTGTTGTCTTTTAGTATTGACCTCAATACACTGTCATTGTTTCAATAGGCACCAAAGGCAAAAGGAAGAGGAGAACAATGGTGCGAGAGAGATAGCTAGAGATAGAGGCCAATTTTAATGGTTACTTATTAAATAGAAAATACAAAAAAAAAAAAAAACAAATGCAATTCAAATAATTCAGAACAACATAAAAAGTGAGCAGGAAAAAATAAATAAAATGAACAAAAAGGTTCTTTGAATCAAGATGCGCTATAAAAATAAAATGCTTCCCCTTGTTTGAAATGTATAATGCGCTTATATGAAATGCTTCCGGTAAATTGCTAGCTGGAGTTTCCTTAGAAAGACTGGTAAAATTCCATGAGCTAAATTATATGGATGGAAAATAGCTAGAACAGCAGAAAAGTTTATATAACCGGAATGTGAAATATTTGTAATCTAGAATGTGCGCTGTCTTAAGGTCATAGATGTTAGTCTTAGTAGGGAATGAATCTACGAATTAACGAATTTAATTTGATTATTAGCTTAATGAAAATGTATTTGTTAAAACATTTATAGTTGAAATAGACAGATTATACATAAACCTAGTGAAAGTAAAACAGATTTGTCTTTGTATTTTCATATAGAAGCTTTGCCAATAATTTAGTAGTTTAGGAATATAAACACAATAAGCTAAACATATCTAATTAAATAAGAGTCATTGTTGTTACTTCTATA